CGGAGTATGTCGGATTAAGACATAAGATGCATTCTATAAAAAAGTCTGATTATGGGGAGATAAGAAAAGCTAAGGGTGTTAAGAAGTATGTGGTAAAAAAGCATATCAAACACGAACAGTATAAAGAAGCATTATTCAACGGTAGAACATTCAAACACGAGATGAACTCTTTAAGAAGTGTCAATCATAGGATATATGGATTAAGAATGAACAAGACATCATCATCCCCCTTAGATACAAAGAGATGGATTGATAAGGATGGTGTAACTACCTTCGCTTATGGTTATGGTGGTAATACTGGTAATATCGTTGGGAACTATGAGCAACTCTTCTCGTACAAATGCCCTGCCCGGTCCATCTTTAAGATAATAAAGAATAGGCTCTCCTTCTTTCATAACCAATCGACTAATGTTATATATCTTAAGGGACCAAATCGGATCAGTTGCGGGACGTAGGCCTCCTTCAAGTTCACGGGGCTGGTATAAATATCTTACCCTTACTCTATCCGAAGTTTTTGTTCTTTGCCTCTCTTCTATGCTGAAGATTTGGAAGTCAAGGATTTCATTTTAATTGCATCGGATGGTTTCTTCCCGATTAATCTCGTTACTTCATTATTCAGCGCTGATACAACTGCTGATAATCGTGTCACCCATTCGGTTGATCTTAATCATTCCAATTTCATTTCGATCCCATACTGAAAGCCAAACAAACGATCCGCTAATGTCCAGTTAAATCTTTCAACGATAGCTTGACTACGGTGGGCCTCTTTTTCACCAGGCCTGATTTCGACATCGTGCTTTGTTAACAGTTGAGTTATTGATCCCATAAACTCCAGCCAGGATCTTCTTGAAATAGCTGAGGCCATTTTAGTGGTCAGCATTTATATATGCGACTTAGTGCATTAGCTACTTCTGTTGAATCTTTCGAGGTTATGGCTCAGCCTCTTAGTATCGACTAGCCACAACCACTACGGTTAAAGCGTATTTATACGTTTTGCGTCTTACCTTATCATGGGGAAGAAACAATAGGTCAGCCTGATGAACTTCATTCGTTGTAAAAATATCAAACTTCTTCCTCGGTATATAACGCGGTGCCGGTAAGTATATTTGCCACATCGCTTGTTTCTTTAACCAATCCTTGGCCACATCTTTAGATACCTTAGCCGCAGTGGCTCATTTTGTTATTGCTACTATACCTATCCAATATCCTTGTGGGCTATAGTAAATTTTATTCATTATTAATTAATATTGATGATTCTTTTAATACGACTCATACGCATCATCATACTGCATAAAAAATTCCCCCTGTAGTGGTGGTATAGGTATATAAATCTGGCTCCAGTGGAAGTGGTCCAGAACCATCATTACCTATACTACTACTGGGCAGATTTTCATGGAATCTACTGGACCTGGGCTGTCATAGTCTGGGGAAGCATGCCCTGCTGGGCAATACTGAGGCTATCAGTAAGATTACCTTGTGGATGACCTTGTCTAGGAGAGACCATGGTGGGAATGCGTAGCCGAATAGATTTGTCCAATCCATCGAAAGAGCGTCTATCTGGTGAGCTCTTGGGTCGGGAACTGGACTGACATAAACTGGGAGTTGTTTGTTCTTGCAAGTGGCAAATAGATCTATGTGTGGAATGTCCCATATCTTGGTTATCCAGCTGAAGATCTGTGGATTTAATGTCCATTCTGTTGCCACTATTCTCCCCCGACTTGAGAGGCTGTCGGCAAGTATGTTCAGTTTCCTGGGTTTATGTCTCGCTTCCATCTGGCAGTTGAAGGAGTCTGCCAAGGCAAACAATCATGTAGTTTCCGTCATCAGGGAGTTTGATCTGGTTCCTCCCTGCTTCTGAATATATGCCACTACTGTTGTGTTGACCGTAACTATAAGAATTGATGATATATGAAGTTGTGTTCTCCATTCGAGGATGGAGTAACATATGGCCTTCATTTCCCTACAGTTGATATGAAGGTTCTTCTACTGTGTTCCTCGATCCCTGAAGTGTGAGATCGTCCCGAATCTGACGTCAGATAAGTCAGCGGGATGACATGTTCTTTGTGATTCCACCACTGGAGGTCTAGTAGCAAAGTTGAAGGTAACTGAGACTGGAACTCTAGGCCATTCGATCGTATAGAGTAAGTCATAAGCTGGACCAAGAATATCATGTTATGCTGTAGCTGATTTTTCCCTTGGTCTGCCGCTAAGAAGTCATCCAGATAATCCTGGACTCGAACTAGCTGGAGATTGGTGAACTTGATGACTAGCGCTGTATTTCTGGTGAATAGCCAAGTGCTATTGCTATCCCGAATGGTAGGACTTGGAATTCGTAGCGTTGGCCATTGATCCAAAGCATAGATATCTGGACTCTGCATGGGTGACTGCATGGCGACCTCACGAACCCAACACCAGCTATACTCACATGTGTGTTGTTCCCAGAAGCACTACAGTGATCCCTCGATATACCGCTGTCGTCGGGGTCCAAGAAACTGACCCCGCGGTGTAGGAAAGAGCGGTGTACAGATATTCCTTGCTGAGGTTCACATTACGTAATGATGGTAGTGAATGGAACAGTGGCGCAATTATTTCACAGTGGCATGGGACATGTAGATCTATGTAACACTGATCGTGGACGATGATTCAAACTGCATGCGTAAAAAAATAAAAATACTTTGTGTAAATTAATCAAAGTAGTCTGTATTATTTTACGACTGGATGTTATACATGTAGAATCTAAATAAATGTTGTTATATTTTAAGTTTTTCGGGAGAAAATTGGTCCGATCGCCGACCTACTCACATTATCGATCGATGACAGTACATTACAAAGCCAAACCAGCCTTGTAACGAAACTAATGTGCAACCAAGGCTGTGATTGGTTAATAAATAATGACGTGTCAAAGTTATGAAAAACCCGGACACGGCCGGCTCTCTGTATGCACTTTATGTACATTGTACATTGACAAGACGTGCGTAACTACACGGTCATTTGAGCGATTTATAAAAATCAAACACAAACACAAACGTAGATTTGAGTGGATAAGAGATATATTTAGTTCTGTTAATAATGATAATTATGCAAAGGGAAAGGGCCAGGGCCATGAATATCTTGGGACAGTTTGACTAATGTACTAAGATTTATTTTATACCCTTCGTAATTACGCTATTTAAACAATGAAGTTCCAATGTTTTTTATAGGTCTCTCACGGTTACTCAAGTCCGGATTAAATACCGAAAGCCATTGTTTCGATTGTTGTTATTGCATTACACGCGGCAGGTTTGAAGTTCGAAGAAATCTCACATGTTGTCTTACCAATCACAACAAGCTGAGATGAGTATTAAATGAAACAATGCGGCTTATGTTTGTTGTTGCTGTGATTTGATTTTATGTGAGTTTAATGCCAGATCTGTGTACGATATGTTTTTTCACAACCGGAGCAAAAGGCAGAATGGTTTCGATCACATTCAGCCGGATACAATGAACGTAATTGTTTTACAAATACACACACGTGTACATTGACTTGGAATTAAATTTCATCAGTTTATTTGTAACTTTATTTGCTTTAACGCGCTTTAACGCGCGTTAACGCGCTTTAACGCGCTTTTAGGGGAAAATTCTTTATGCATTTTTGGGAGCCATGGTTTACCCCGCGTTGCATCCGGAGTAGCGGTACATCGAGGAGCGGTTAAGTCGAGGGACCAATGTATTACTTTAAATATATATTTATTTATATGTCTGTTATTATAGCAATCTTATTAGAATAAACTTAGGTTAATGTGACCTACTACCAGGTGCTAGATTGTCACTACAACTACAGTAGGTGTTGACTCTAGCACACACAGGAAGAAAGTGATATGGCTGCCATTGTGATGTCAAGGCGTGAGTAGTTACAAGACTACATTTACTTGGCAGCAACTAATTGTGTGTAATTGACAGTGAAGAGGATGTCTGTTGAAAATCTGAAATTTTTATTTAGTGTGATTGAAGCCAAAATATAGGATTTATGGCAGATATGTCCTAGAGGTAGAAGTTTCATGAGAATTTATACAATAACAGAGGGGACAAAGGAAATGTTCTACTTCAATAATTTCAGTTATCCAGTTTCAAATGATGATAAATATAGAGGGACCTGGTTGGGACCTAAAGAGGTATTAACTTATCTGTTTATTCTGTTTATTCTTGTATATTATTGATGTAATTATATGAACTCCATTAGAACATCAACAACATAGAGTCCATTCATGACAACATCTGGTCTATTGCATAAGCAACATTTCGATGTAGATTCTTACAATGCTCTCAAGCTGGAATGCCAATCAAAGATGGGTTCTTTTGTTTTAACAATAGGGTGTATCAATTGATACACCTCTCATTTGTGTATCATGCACCTAACTTTTCTAATTTATATGCGGGTTTTTTATCAGAAACGATCTCGACTGAATGAGTATGAATTACAATGAAAGTAAAGAGTACAGGCTGACTGAGCCAACTTGGATACAAACTCTGAAATTTCATGCTTGTCGAGCCACAAAGAAGCATTTGAAAACTATATATTTCATAAGTTTTGTTTATGTACATTTCAGTTACTTTTGTCATCTGTGTCAGTCATCAGACTCAGAAGTAATCTATAGCTAGTTAACGGTATATGCTCGTATATGATAGCAGCCTCGTGAATACACAGGTTTAGACCATATAAGTCAGTGATGATGAGCAATGGCCCATGCCTTGGGAATAAGATGATACACAATCAAGCATATCACCAAGTCTGACCAGCTGATCCATTTGGTTGCCTCCAACGACCAGCAAAGGTTGTTATTCTAACCCAGAATCCCCAGTGGGTCACATTAATAGAAAAGGTAAATAAATATTTACTTGGCTAACGCCTCTTCGATCCCATGTTTAATGCACCTAAAAATGCATGGCTATTGCTCTTACTTTTTAATGTTAAGCAGGTGATGGTCAAAAATCAAATTGTACAAAGAAAATTATGTACATACATCAGCCAATCTTTGTCTCAGTTGACCTGGTTGTTTTTTCGCAAAGAGTCTGATAACTTCAGGTGTCTTGAATGCTTTACTTATTGCAGCTTGAATAGCCTGAAACAGAAGGAACAAAATAGCATCATATTACTTCTATGTGTTTGTTGCCTAATTTGTTTGTTGGAAATTCCATTTAGCACACAACAAAATATATAGAGAGTCTCTATTAGAGACCCACATACTGGTATTTGCTACCACAGACTTCACCCATGTCAAGTTAAACGAGAAGACAAAGTTATCCATATGCTGTGCCTTTTCAAATTCACTTACCAATATTCCAACTATATTACGGTAGTCTGAAAATACTGGGCATTGACAAAACAATCCAATAAATGATAGTGTGGTCGACTTGGGATATGGGGGTAAATATATATATTTAGAAATGAAGCAGGTGGGTTAGTTTAAGGTGATTTGTGCACCTGACGTAGAACCTATCTTTGTCGTCATTATTTTCGTAGTTTATGGGCATTGTGGCTGGTAAGACGTGATGATGTCATGCTCGTTGCATGCTCGGCTAGGCGGCAGCCATGTTTGACAGAGCTCAGATGTAGAGAGCATGGTCAATAGCTGTGTCCGTTTTCCTAGTCATTTGGTCCGCATGTCGGCTGTGTAAGCCTACCCTGTGTAGGAAACCGTCAGTTGTCCTTTCACCGGCATATGGTAAAGTATATGGTTGGCTCTCATGTCTTGAGTCAAGACCTTTTCATTTTTCATCCATTAATAGTTTTCATGTTTGGGATAATGTTGTTTAGTTTGCGTTAGATAGAGTGTGGGAGAATTAGCATAGGAATAAAATAGTTTTATTTTAGGATATCCCATTAAGGGAGTTAGAAGGGTTGTTGTAATATACTCTGCAAAAAGAGAAATGCAAACGTAGCAAAATCGTAAATATCTGACAGAGTGTTGCCGACATCCATACAAAATGAATACTAAAAATAAATTGGTCTTTTCTGGGATTGGGATTGATTTGTGTGGAAAGAATGAGGTATTGCAGAAATTTGCTAAAGAGACTGAAAATCGGAAAAACACATCAACGTGAGAGCCTGGCACTGACACACACACCAACATGACATGCACGTGCAACATCACTTATTGGGCTACAAAAGCGGTAGGTTTTCATCACGATCTTACAGCAAATGAATACTGAAAACATGCCATGACTGACGGAAGCCCAGTGCTACAATGCCATCGGCCAACAGCAAACAGGAGAATCATCTTCAGCTGTAGCCAGGTTTTTCCATGTAGCACAAAGCACAATTACACGACTGTGGAACAGTTATCAGAGACACCGGAAAACACATGACCTTCCCAGATCTGGTCGACAACATGTCACTACCAGAGCACAGGACAGATTCAGACGGCTACGTCACCTACATGAAAAAAACACCACAGCCAATTCTACAACTATGGCAAGTGCAATTCAGGGGAATTTAACGGTGCAACATTACACCAATGAGATTCTTCGGCCACATGTCCTTCCCATTATGCAACAAGCGAACATATTTTTCCAACAGAAAAACCCCCGACTTCACACGGCAAGACTGACAACAGCCTTTTACAGGAATCACAACATCCATGTCATGGCCCTCCAGGTCTACAGACCTAACCCAATCGAACATTGATGGAATGCACTGGATAGCGACTGCAAGCATGTCAGCAACAACCAAAGAACCACAAACAGGCAGAGTGGGTGAACATTCCCCAGGCCACAATTCAGGATTTGATTGCTTCCATGGGGCGATGATGCCGGTCAGTTTTGGATGGTGGCAAGATATTGAAAACAGATGACCTTCACCTTGAAAATCTACTCAGGAGCCTCATACTCATAGAACATATAGACAAAAGAATACTGCACAGTGAGAAGAGAACACAACGCAAAGCACTGCAGTAAAATATCAGAAGTCTTGCCACCAATTTATGATTCTTCTGTCACTGGGTGCCTATTAGAGATGTTAGAGGGCACCTATCACAATCATATGAGCAATGATCCATGCTGTCAGGGAATAATGCCACACAATCAACCAAGTAACGGTTTCCCAAGTATCCATGCAGTCAGCTCTTACAAAAGGATTGTATGAGGTATGATATTTGAACCCTGCACTCATCTGCACTTAAGTCCAACTTGCCTGCCTTGGAAATGCAAAAAGAGTGAAACAAACTCCTGATTGGCAAAGGCACCAGTTCAGCAAATAGATTAAGTGTATAAAACACATAACAAAAAAATAGTGAACAGTTTATTAATTATGCTCTGAAAATGTGACAGATAGACGGGTGGACCCCCATTTCGATATACCCCGCAAAACTTTGTTTGGGCTGGGGATATATATCGTCTGAAAAGCACTGCCACTGCTTGTGCAGCAAGAGATTCCTGATCTGCTTCCAAAGCAACATGTCCCTTTGTCTTGAACAGAAGTTGTATTATAGGCATGAAATTAGAATAATTATCAACTCATTAAGATATGAATGGGAACACATAATCAAACAATTAGAGGGAAATTCAAACAGTAAGACATTGAAATGAGGGAAATTACACGCCAGATACTATGTCAAGTGTTAAAAATATTTGTACCATCTCGAAGAGATTGACAGCTTCAGAGGTGAACGCACTTCGCTATTAGGGCATGAGGTCAAAACCATTAAGTCACGGAACAAATTAAGATGGACTGCTGGATGTCATATCATTGCGATGTTAATAAGATTAATTAGGGAAAACATCCAGGCTGCTAGAAATAGAGTAAAAGTAGTAAAGAGACCAGCCAGAGACAAGCCACAGATAACGTATATGGTGTTAGAAAAATGGTCCCGATTCCTGGGAATCAAGGAGTTCGTTCATCTTACGAAAAGACCTGGTAAGGGTTTGGGCATGAAAGACAGGTAGGTTAGAATGATCCAATGTTAGAGGGGAAGGGATGTTGACCAATGATAGTTAAAAAAATGAATAAGTGTTGTGACGTAGGAGCCGGTTTTTAAGGAGAGTCAGAGCTGGTTGTTGGAGAGACTACGGTAGCAGGTCCAAGGCCCTCGGGTACTGACATTGTACCTCTCGCTCATCCCAGTTCATCAGGACCACAGTACGAGGGAACTACCGTAGTCTGGTGAAGGTACCCGAGTTGCCACCTTCTAATTACCGCCAATAACGTCTTAAAAATACCTTGGACAGTTGTCCTGATGTCTTGCACTGAGATGTGAATGGTCCAAACTGGCGAAGGCCCTGTTTTGCCACAGAGGTTATGAGAGTTATATTATGTGTGAAGGCACATTTCCATAGATTAGGACCCGTGAAGATTGGGTGTAGAATAGGTCTTCAGCAACCCATGCTTGCCATAAAAGGTGAGTATGCTTGTCGTAAGAGGCGACTATACTTGTAGTAAGAGGAAAACTAACGGGATTGGTTGATGCATGTCATCGTATCCCAATTGCATGCATCGATGCTCTTGATGCAAATCACTGGATTGTCTGGTCCAGATTCGGTTTATTTACAGACCGCCGTCATATAGCTGGAATATTGCGGTGTGTGGCGTTAAACAACAAACAAACAAATCCCATAGATAAGTTGATGATTCTCAGCAATCTGGTAGGAATCCATAGGCTCGAAACCACTGCATTCTTGATGAAACTATCAGACAATTCGGAAGACATGTACCGGTAATGAACAATCTAGCTTGAGGAAATAAGAGTCAGCAAGAAGAAAATTAAATTTTCCTTGCGTTCATTGAAATTCCTGCATTCTGATTAGTCATGCGTTATTGCATTCATTTCAGAATGAATGTAAAAAAATTAAGCCATGCCCACCAAAGAAGATAACTTTTATTACTATGGAATGTTGGGGATTCTTATAAAAGTTTGCACATCGGGTTTTCAATTCATTCCTCAATGAACCGAAAAAAATACACAGTCAATCCTTAAATAATTTAATTTTCCTTGTGTTCATTGAAATTCCTGCATTTTGATTAGCTGAACTGGTCATGTGTTATTGCATTCATTTCACTACTTTTATTACTATGTATTGTCGGGTAATCCCAATAATACAGTCGAGGGGATTCCCTTTCTGCTCACGTGTATTGTCATGTACAGGACATTTAGAGAAATTCATGCAAATTCATTGTCCAAACAACCCTTTGAGACCGAAGACTGAGAAGGAATGAAACAGCAAATGCGCCAGTTTTTTACCATTCACCTCGGTTCCACAACTTTCATGTCTTCAGATTTCTTTTTTATGCGGATTCATACAGTTTCCCAATCGGTTTTTCAATTCATACCTCAATGAACCAAAAAATATACACAGTCAATCCTTAAATAAAACAGTAGAGCACGGAGAGGACAAATATCTTGTTAGATGCAAGATAAAGTAAAGGAGCATGAGCTGGCAATGATGTCTTGACTAAGTAACATCCTGGAAAAGTGTTGATAACTATTCATCAATATGAGTTAAAGGGAAACAACACTCCAACTCTCAGTCATCTAGCTAGCGCCATTGTAATTAGCCCGCATAATCACCAGATGCCAATCAGAGCCCACAACCCAACAAACTGGGCTTCATACCAGCAATTGAGGGAGGACCTCGTTCACAGGGTCATCTCCCATTTGTCAGGCAGCTTAAAACAAAAACTTTGATGTTTGAGGGCACATCAGATTTGCGAAACATTCCCTTAAATAGGAATAGATTAGTCATGTTGTCAACACCTGTCTGACAACTGGTACAAAAGAAAACAAAATATATACAAATCAATGTTTAATCTTGATTCATTATTGCTTAATACTTTGTAATATGTTGCTCAGTTAAAGGACTCTTACATTATGTACATGAAGTATAATACATACCATATACAGTATATATAATGACCATCAATCATTATGAATATAGAGTAATATTTGGTTCCATAATCAGTGTCAATGGTCTGTCAGTCATTCAAGCCAGAGTTAAAATGTAACCTGCTGTATCCAGAAATTGCGTTTTGGTCTCACTCCCTGACACAGTTTTTCCTTCAGGGAAATTCTGTGTGAATGGCTTGAATGGCAGTTCAAAGTCTGCCTGGATCTATTGAGGAGTCAAGGGCCGTTGTAGTCATTGTTGAACTTCAGCTTTCAGTCTGTTGGACAGCCTGCTGTAGGTTGTACGTGGCCTGGCGATCATGAAGGATGGCGAAGACAAGTGGGTAGGTAACAGATCCACTTCTATCATGTAGAATGTAGACTTGATCCCACAGTTGAATAATGCAGGTCCAGGTTTGGTATCCATCCTTCTGATCATGTGTCTTATATAATATAGCTACAAATTTCAGTAAAAACAACTTTGATGAAACAACAAAATGTGAAAAACATTCATGTCGGGATTGCGCACTAATTTATAGAAATCCTAATACAAGTGTTGGAACTCCGAAAGAGTAGCATTGTGTGTCTTGTGTAACTTCTGTTTCATAGGTGGAAGAGGTAGACGTTTATCTTGCTTTTGCATGACATCCCCGGCATCTGGGGTGGTGAATCCTCTGTCACATGTGACCGAAGTGTAGGCATAAGGTGGTAAAGCTCTTCGACAAGTTCCACAAAAGTATAGCATTCACTGTAATTGCATTGGGGAGAGTTGTCTATTGATTCCGGTGACCATGATTCCGGTATAATCTGTCTCCGTGTGGCTTGTAGCCTGTGGGTAATGGTAGCCTTTGCATCAGGCTTGGGTCCTGTTGGACGGTCAAAACAGTGGGCCGTGGTCAAATGGGTAGCCGTGGGTGGCTGGCCCATTGAGTCTGTTTTCCGGCCGTACAGTTTCTTCACAAATGGCTGGCTGGACGGCTTATCCGTCGGCTGGTTGCCGTGGACGGCCTGTTCCTGGATACCGTGCGGCTCACATACGGTATTGTTCTCTGGTCTAGTGGTGGCTGGCCAGCAAGCTGGCTTGATGACTGGTCCGTGGGTTGGTAACCGGGATCCACGCCGTGGCCCATGGGTCGTTGGCTGGACATGCGGCTCAGCTGAAAGATCTTGTGTAGGCTGTCCCACAGCCAGGGATGAAGATCTGGTAGTCTTTGCCAGAGCTACCATCATGATCTTAGCCTCCATATCCGGCCACCTTAGCATCAAGCTTGTCTTTCATCATCTCCTGCTCTTCACTCAGAAGTTGTTGGATGAGGCTCAGGTTGAGAGCAGGAGATGATGGGCTTGCTGGAGAGGGAGGCGCTGGGGTAGACACTGATTTCTCAGTAATTATCTCGTCAACTTTCTTCTTCGCTGCCTCTCTCCACTTGGCCTTAGTCGGAGCCTCTGACATCTTGGAGAAGATCTCTATGGATGTGTGGCTGCTTTTCTCACATCTCTTCGTGCAGTTTACATGAGGATCTCCCGTGATCATAAATCGGGAGGGGTGATGGGAGCCTGCATGGCAACCTCACAGCTATAAAAGCGTGCATCTAGTCTCTGTCAGCAACACTATCACTTTTAATATATATTTATTTATGTGTCTGTTATTATAGCAATCTTATAAGAATAATCTTAGGTTAATGTGACCTACTACCTGGTGCTAGATTGTCACTACTACTACAGTAGGTGTTGACTCTAGCACACACAGGAAAAAAGTGATATGGCCGCCATTGTGATGTCAAGGCGTGGATAGTTACGCGACTACTTGGCGACAACTAATTGTGTGTAATTGTGTAATAATGGCAGATATGTAATAGAGGTAGAAGTTTTGTAAGAATTAAACATATTTACAGTCTCACCAAGCTGTTTAAAACTTCAAAGAGATTACCAGCATCTGGGTCATAACATTTTGAGTCAAGGGGTGTGTGGCAGTTACAAAATATTCCACTGTCTAACAGCTGGGTGTCTGATAAATGGGAGGGCTCAGTTGAGAGCAATAGGGAATCCATTCGAATTATTACATTTGATTGGATGGTGCTTACTAAATTGGATAATTGGCCCGCGTGTGTAAATGTGTATGTACAATTATGTACTTTAGTATACAGTAAATATGTGTACGTATTATTTTTGCAACAATGAAGTTCAGTTCATATACTCAAAACAGCAATGACCCTTATTTTTCAGGCTGGATATAATACTGGATATAATACAACAATTGTTACTCCCTTCTTGTCATTCATGTTTCATGGCATAAAACCTACACCTATGTATTTGTCATCATTCACTTGATGCTCAGTTAATGACTTTATCCAATGTATAATAATTAGTGCTAGATCATATTACATAACCTTACAAAGACTATGCAAAATAACTCAATTACGTTCAACCCTGCCTCTGAGGGTGTCAAGAATATATAGCAAGCTGAGGTTTGCATTTGGCATTTCTGGCTTCTGGGTATTTATTTAATCTAAGATTGGTTTATTCATCCAGGTCGGATGTGGTGAATTTATTACATGTTATGTAACATGCATGTGGCAGCACAGAAAGAGAGAGAGGAATTGTCAGTTGAGTTTAAAAAAACAGCAGTCAGAGGACTTTTGTCAGTTATAATTCTGATATTTGAATGTTGTTTTCATTCATTTGCTGTAGCAAGGATGCGGAAGGTTTCTATAGTATCTGATCAAATTGTTCAAGGAATAAAACATATCTGGCAATAGCAATCTGTTGTTCCATAGTACCTACGCTTACGGTTATTATTACGGTATTTCAAGTATATATAGTAAAGCTGCAACAAAAATAACTTGATATTGGAATATATTATATCTGATAAAATAATAGTTTCAGATACAAGTCATCTGATCATTGCATTAAAAGTCTTTGAAGTCATATTTTGGGGTATTATTTAACCAAAGATTTTATCTGTACATGGGGAGAAAATGTGCATACAGCTGATTGCTATTTCTGGCTTAGATTACTAGAAAGTAGAAAGTACATGTTGACCAATAGCTTCACCCTTTCAAGTCGTGTATGCATTTATCAACAACAAAAACACATGTCAGTTTGGCTGCAGATCTTTATTGTATATCCTTTGTTATGACAATACTCAATCTTCGATCCTCCGATAGATGTTGCTTTGTGCAGCTGGAATAGCACCGAACACAAGTCAACCAATCAACTTCATAGTCCATAATAAGCAAATTTTGAATCCGCGAAGAAATATCCGTTCCATATTTCAATACTTTCAAAGTAAGAGTTGTTTCCCTTTAAGATCAAGTATTCCAAATCTCAGAGTTTACCTGACAACAACATTTAGACTGAAGAGCACCATTGAGCAGAAGGAACAAGAGGAAGTAAGACATCCGGTCATAGATATAGGTTATTTCAATACCATGCATCATCATGATTTCACAACTTAGTTCTGTATGAACCTTCTCTTTGCATTTCAATTTGCAGATCACTTTGTATAAACAGAAATTGGGGCTTGTCAGTGTTCATTCTATCTTAAAACCTTTCCTCAGGATAATTGTTAAATCAGAGAATGCCCTAACAAGAAAAGAGAGCAAGTTCCGGTTGGAAAAGGCCTTGAATCACCCTTGTGCTGCTCTTATATAAGTACAGCTAGCCTTCTTGAAACACACCCATCCTGAAAATTCTCGTACGACCAGAAATGTCATGTTTGTCAACGACCAAGGGCAGAAACTCATACTTCAAGTTACAGTCTTTCAGTCATTTCCTGACACTGACAATCACTACAAATTCATTTACAACAATCTCCACTGACACATAAAAATCAATCAGGACTGTGTGAACTTTATGAACAGTTTAACAACGTTGTCAGAAGTTGACAAGAAGGCTCCATCGAAAACACTCAGTGATCATTTTAACATACAGCAACTTTATCTATTTGAGAGTCAAGTTTAGTTATGCTAATCAGACAAAACAGGAAAGCGTAAATCAGTATGTCCAAGATTATGCACAGCAAGCAGATGCTTATTAACTAGTGACACAATGACAACCAGTGGCCAATCATACCTTTACGTGTAATGTTATAAGCAAATATTGTTACATTTTTTTTCAATTTAAAAATAATTTTGTCACTAAGTCTAGAGCCAATCATATGATTGTATTTATTCTTATTTCAAAATATTCATGAAACATACGTAGATATTTCCCAAATCATGACAGAATCAAGGCAGAAAAAAATTATATGCCATCATCTTTGTAATCATTTTCCTTCAAATAATTGGGACCTTTTGTAAACCTGAGCAAGGTGCAATGGAGGGACTATGCACATTTGGAGATAACTGTAGACAGGGGGTGGTGTTTAAGACATTCGCACCTCCACTGTTGAAGATTTTTATCTTAGCTATGATAGCGATATTAAATCCATGCTGTCTTACAATTGCGCTAAGACAGGTATGTACAAGTGGAATGGTATGGTTGATCACCTATGATCGATTGTAACTAAGATTTCTCTGTGCGAGTCGGTCCAGGGACACAAGCTTATTTGTCTTTAAGACATTTGAACTGAAAATGTCTGAATAATGGTCATAACAAGGTTTTTCAACATGGCTGTAATGAAGGACAAATCTGAACCTTTTGAAAAAATATCAGAGTGTCATTATTGGTTGAAACAAGTTAATGAAGCTTTCATTGCTCCCCAGAGTTTTGCGATGTTTACAGATGTCAGACAAGCAAACCATCCCACATTCTCATTTGACTTTTGTCAGATGAACTAAAATATAAATATAAATACTTAGAATACTACCACTTAGTTAGTAAACATGGTAAATATTGTGTTGAATGTAACTTGGATCCCAGTGGGATCCCACTTAGAAGAAACCCAAGGCACACTACAAATTAGACAACTTACTACAGGCAAACACTTGCACTTCTTCACAATCCTACAAATATAAGGTTATCATATAATTACAGACATGGTTGAAACATTTCACAAGAACCTTTTTCCCCGGCTACTCACCAGTTGCATCCCATTCAGTTCATCAACAAGACTTAGATCACCTCCAACCATTTTGTCCAATGATTCCTTAAATTCTTTTAACTGTTCTAATGTTTCATTCTTGGTTTCTTCATATTCTTCTGGTTCTAGGTCCTCTCTGGGAACAAAAGTCAACAGTGACACATAATTACAGCAAACACCTGTTTGTTTACATGTAGGACATTTAAGAATTGACCTTCACTTTGTGTGAGTTCATTGGAGTATGAACCTTCATAGAGTGCGGGTGAAACTGTATAAACGTCGGAGCTTGCGACGACGTTCATACAGTTTCACCCGCACTCTATGAAGGTTCATACTCCAATGAACTCACACAAAGTGACAGTCAATTCTTATAATTTTTTCATCACAATTTCTTACCTCAAATGATGTAAACACAATTTTATTTAGTACGTGTGACTTCATGTTTATACTGACAGCCATAAAACAACCAGCTATATTGCGGAATAAAATAGTTCCTCAAAAAGAGAGGTGACATGAGCGTATGGATGCATAACTTGCTCTTCAGAAACATCTTACACAACACATGTGTTAAGATAATATTATCATTAGATGAGAAAGGTCTGTAAAGAACTACCTCAGTAAGTCAGTCACAATGACAGCGCGTCGTAATACATTTACATCAAGTACAAGACGTCAAAATGGCTGACACGATAAACGTGACGGGAGAGATTACCGAAGTTGTTAATGAACCTGTGGCGGAAACATGTGCTTGTCATCATTGATCAACTGGCCGATCATTGAAAGGCGATTAAGATGCGTCAAACAGACACCAAGGTAAATTCATAGATTGCTGGAGACGGTCAATGTCAGCCTAGACACGGATCGAGTCGATACTACGATAGTTTGGATGTGTATTTCTTTTTTTACTGGGCCATAGCGAGGATATTAGTGAACAATCATGCAGTCAAGCTCTCTGACTTTTCTCAATGCATACTGAAACGCTGAGACCAAGAATAAAGGTTCTAAATGATCAGAAAGAACGCTTATGTATGTTTTCGTGCTAGGGAATTCCCAGGGGTTCCCCAGGAATGTGGAAGTAGTCCGCCAGTGTTTACTTCATTTCAACAACACGGTCTCGTGAAAAACGTATGAACGTCAAATTGTATCGTTCATACACTTATGAACGTCAATTTCGTGGTCATGTGACCGACCTCTCGTCCAATGGAAAAGCCGTTTATCGTGTAAACTTCGAATTAAAAGATCATTTACCGGTAAGCCAGGATAAGTTGAAATGTAACCTGACAATTAACCACGTATGACAATGTGAGAGGTCTGCCAGGTGGCGGGGACCATTTTGAAGAAGCGAGTGGTCAGGGACAAGTGGTATGGTCACATGTCAGGTCACAACTCAACTTATTCTGGTTTACTAGTAGGTCAGTCACAATCATCATGGATTTCTATTGATGGTATACTATTAGTTATGGTGTCTTTAGTTGTCGTATATGGTGTCATATTAGGTAAGCTAAAAGATATTGGGCGAGTCATGAGCCGGGTCCAATAAACTTCTGCCAACCTACTATGACACCATATATGTCAACTAAAGACACCATAACGAATTTATTATGCCGAAAAGTTTACAATATTTGTATAACCGACACGACCAGTACATGTGTTCGATACAACGCTTTAATACAAACACAATCATTAATAATGGCATGCACTAAATGTGAACGTTTAAACAAGAAATATAGCTGAAATGGATAGAATTATCATAAAAATGCCCACATGTTATCAGAAATCGGTGGGCCACTGTAACTTGAGAGCAGACTGCTTTTTCCTAGCGATGGGCTGCTATCTATTCTATTGCTATGTGACGTCATTGTCTGTAAATAATGGTGCCTGGACCAGCCACTCCAGTGATTGATATCATGAACATCCATTCACACAATTGGGATACGATGACATGCATCAACCGAGACAGCGAGCCTGATCACCCAATCCTGTTAGTCGCCTCTTACGACAAGCTGAGTCACCACTTACGACAAACATGGGTCGCTGAAGACCTATTCTCCTGGAATCTTCATGGATTAATCAAGGAATGACGCAACACATCCTCTTATCGTCATTAAGACGATAGATCAATACATACACTTTTTGTTCAGGGCACAATCGAATTAAGATAAAACTGACAAGATCATCTGTTTGTGTTTACTTGAAATAAATTGTAGTAAGAATGTCTGAACAAAGCTTATGTAGTTTGTAGTTCAAGATATCATGTGGTTGGATACAAGATCATATATACATTTAGTTCCAAATTGCATGATGTACATACATAATTAAGTTGTGATTTTCTTCAACATAAGTGAACTTCCACAACTACATCAAAACTGGGTGAGTGCAACACAAAGGTCATGTAAACTACTTCTGCACTTCAATGAAGTGTACAAAAACTTCAAAATTAAACCTTCACGGCTAAGAGTTTAAATGAAATAACATAAACTTTGAGCATGGAAGCTGTCAAGGATTCCATCCAGTTACCGTTAAAAATTATCTTGTTTAAAATAAAAAGATACAGTTAAATAGATAATTTCAAATCAGGAAAATAGTGCACCATAAGTGTAATAATGCATCAAATCCACTTTGATGAAATATAGAAAAATAATACTTAAAATCATCATAAGTGATAATCTCTAATGATATTTTTCATCTCTACTGTATTTGGGAGTTCATGAAGTAGACACAACTTTTTTAAGGTAATAATTAATATCATACTTTTTAAGTTGTAAGTACATAATAATATACAAAAATAAGCAAATATTATTTTTGTTTTTTATTTATTTAATGGAAACTGGATAGAAAGATATACTTTATTTCCTTTATATATATGAAGATCAGTTTACAAGATGAACAACAAGAAATACAAAATAATCAGTCAGTCATAAGGCTTGGATGAACAAATACAGATCTATATGTACTTGATACTGATAGGATGACTAGTTGAGGTCTGGACATTATATAGAAATCCCCCTACATTTGTGTACAAATTCAGATAGTTTTAAAATGACTTGAATCAACACCTGGAAGTCCAAGTGATTGAGTTCATTATGTTCCCCACTTAATATACAGTTCATGATCCTTTTATCACTCTGGTCACAGAACATAACAAAAACCTACGCTGATAGAATCGAATTGTCAATGAACATAGACTATTTTCCTCAATATATTAGTATTAATTCTGGATGAATAAGAGAGCAGTCAAACAGTTCAGGTATTGTAGTTACATATGGTTTTCATTAAGATGACAGAGTCTGTGTTACTGTCTTACTCCAATGGTATTTGTCAATGAATTCTCTACATGCTAGATAGGACTTCATCACATTGGACTGGGGCCTGAGGATTCAACCCCCCAAAAGTCCAAGAATCTGTACTTTACCAAGAAAGTGTTATCCCAAATATAACATTTGTTACTTCTTAATCCTGCAAACTATTTACCAAGTTCCAAAGGCATATTTTTTTATATGAATTTTGTTTCCTGTCTACAGAATCGTCTGGCAAACAACAGTTTACATTTATCAATTGTGGGTTTCAAGAATTGAGGACATCAAATCATTCTTCAACTTCATCATTTATTCTAATTCTTAGTTTCATATTCTAACAGATTCTTGTTCTAGTTGAAGGGTGCCGTTGCCACGAAATACTAAGGTAGCTCTGTCGGCTTGATTGACTGCAAGATAATGCAGAAATGTCTATGAATACCGGTATACTAATATTTAGACGCAGATATGAAAATAAACGGTCACTTTCATAATGTCTTACTTCTCGGTTACTGAAGTTTTGTATTTAATTGCATAATTACCGTTTTATAACCTCTACCATCCCCCGCTCACAGCACAGTCTCTTGCACATAGCGATACCAACAACAACAACAAAGTTACTTCCCTTTACAACTTAAATCAAGACAGCTTAAATATAAAATTAACCAAAACAATTAATCAGAATCCAGCATCAATGTATGTCCGCATTGACCATAGTCTAAGTGTGCCTTTAGTAGTTGCACTCGGTGATCTCTTGGGTAAACTGTGAATAGTATAGATGATGGGGGTATGCTCTCCCCCAACCATGCACCTGGTCTAGCTCCTGAAAATGCATCCATTGAGTTCATAAGTTTTATCACTTATGTTGTGTTGATCATTTGATCATCATGTATGGTGTCAATCATTTTACAAGAAGACCAGGCTGAAGCTTCTTTTTCTTTTTCACAAATTTTCACAATTTCTTAAATTTGCAATGTCAAAATTATCTAAACACATAAAATGTCGTAATCATCAATTTATGTGCATATTATGTGAGATAATAAATATTTTGAGAACAATCAGAATATTCAACAAGCCTGATTTAATTCAATAACAATTTCACATATACTATCACCCTTAACAAGGCAGTGAGAGAGGAGCAAGTTATTTCAATATATGTACACATTCAATCAATCATGATTATGTTATGATCATATAGCATGATGCATTTGGTCCGGCTCTGGCCGTTGGAGATTACAGCCACAATTTTGCAGAATTATCGAACAAAAGTTATCATTGTTTATAAGAATACTACCTCAATTACATATCTCCCATAAATCCTGCATTTTGGCTTCAATCAAACTTACTAACATTTTTAGATTTTCAACAGACGTCCTCTTCACTGTCAATCACACAATTAGTTGTCGCCAAGTAGTGTCGTAGCTACCCATGCCATGACATCATAATGGCAGCAATATCACTTTTTTCCCTCATCTACTACAAGAGGTAGATGAATTAGGGAGGTGGGAGGGAGTAATTCGTATGTAATAAATAGAGGTAGTATTCTTAGAATTATTAACAATGATAACTATTGTTCGATATTTCTTACAAAACTTCTACCTCTATTACATATCTGCCAGCTATACCAGGGGTACCCCGTAGGGATCTGCCTCTAGTAACTCCCTGTGTAATTGATAGCAATCCTCTTCTGGAAACCAATTTGTACTGATTCTAATCCTACTTAGACAAATTCCTCTGAAATTCCCCTTGGGGACTAGAAAATCTGAAAACTATGTCAAGAATCAGTCAAATATGTGATATTTTCCCTTGACTTACCGTTATACTTGCTGATCTTTATCATGAT